CTGGGCCTCAGTTTCTTCATCCATAAAATAAGGGATTGGAGATGATAGCGAAGGTCCTTTATAGTTTTTAAGTACTAGCATTCTGATGAACAGAAATACATGCACATTTTTAACTCATTCCTTGGGAAAACATATGTGCATGCATGGACTTCAAAGATCTATCATTTCATTGATGAAGCTGTTCTTGCCATTGAGCACATATTAGAGGACCTCTGTGACTTGCACTTGAGAGTTTCTATGACTTTGAAACCAACCTAGTGATTGATTAATATGAGACCTAACAAAATGCATAAACAGTACATATAATATGTGATATAATATGTGATCTTATACTTCGATAATATTTTCATGGGTATGTTGTAGGGGAAAAAAGTGCTGGGAGAATATTAAATCATAGCTCACCACTCATACCTTCTATGTTAGTTGTCCCAGTTATGCATTCCCCATCCCTCATAGTATGGCTACTGTTGAACACTCTTTAGTTACCTCAAACTCGACATATTTAAACCTAAACCTGTTTTGCCCGGTTTACCTATTTATATCAGTGGCACTCCATTCTCTGGATTCCTAAGGCTCAAACACTTTGCAGACATCCTCGGCTTTTCCCTTTCCTTCATCCACCACATACAACCAAGTCCTGTTGATTCTGCCTTAGAGATTGCTCTTGCTTTCGTCTCTTCCTCTTCCTATTATTGCCACTGCTTTAGTCCAGATGCTCATCACCTCATGCCTAGACTATTGCAGTTGCTGGCTTTGTCTTCCTGCCTTCAGTCTCTTCCTACTTCCAAATATCCTGCACATCTTCACTAGATTAATGTTCCCAAATTGCCGGTTTCATTATGTTTTTCCTATGCTCAAAAATCCCAAGTGGGTATCCATTACCCTTAGAGTACTATCTAATCCTTAGTCACCTGACTTTCAAGACTCTTCCTTGTTTGTGCCCAGCCTCAGCTCCAATTTTCCCCTTCATGAACCCTTTCATCAAGACAAGCCCTCACTATTCTCTCTTGCATGTACCATGTTTCTTTTAAATTCTAAATCTTGGCTCATACTCATATTCCACTGTCTTTGAAATGCCCAATCCACTTCTTGTTAAGCTAGCAAAAATCTATCCACAGCCATTTTGCAAGGGGTTGAAGTGAGAAGAGGAGGAAAAAATCATTTCAAATAGTTTTTCCAGGAGTATGTATTATGTAAAAATAGTTAGATATGTAGTATAATAACCATGGGTACATGGTGTAATTAAAAAACAAACAGCCGTCAAAAACAAAAACCTACCTACCTTTCAAAGTTTAACTCCAATCCTACCTCTGGCAAGAGGCCTTCCTGTGACTACTTCAGGCACTATTTAACTCCCTCTTTTAAAACTTCTATAGAACTGATTGTCTAGGATCATCTTTTGACTTTTGATTACTACTTAATTATCCTGAGACTTGATGTTCTGTGACCAGTAAAAGCCATCCTTAGTGTTCAGAAAAACCTCAAAGCATACTTCATAATGTCATCTTAGGTAGCAGCTTGGAAGTCAAGAGGACATGAATTCAAATGTGACCTCATATACTTCCCAGTTATGTAACCTCTGTTTGCTTCAGTTTCCTCAACTGTAAAATGGAGATAAAAATAGCATCTACCTCAAAGGGTTGTTGTAAGGACCAAATGAGATGATATTTGTAAAATGCTTAGTAGATAGTAGGCACATAATAAATGTTTATTCCCCTCCCCCTTCCAATCATTCATGTTTTCAATCTCTATATCATTATTCTTTTCTCATCCCTATTTTAGAGTAGGGAAAGACACAATGAAATGAGATGATATCTGTATTATCAAATGAGATGATATTTGTGAAGTCCTTAGCACAGTGCCTGGCACACAGTAGGCACTTAACAAATGCTAGTTCTCTTCCCTTTTCTCTTTCTGTCTTTATATCTAATCAGTTTCCAAATCTTCTTAAATATACCTCCACAATATGAATTTCACATATATTCTCTTTTCTCTCCTTAGTTCCTAGTTTGATCCCAAAAAAATCTCTTCTATGCACTATTTAAACAGCGTTCTAATTGGTCTTCCTGTCTCTAGTCCAAGGGCTCTTAATCATTTTTTGTGTCATGGACTTCCTTTGGCAGTCTGGTAAAGCCTAAGACTCCCTTCTCAAAATGATGTTTTTAAATGTATAAAATAAAATACACAATTACAAAGGAATGCAATTATAATGAAATAGTTTTCAAAATAGTTTTTTTTTAATAGTTCACAGACCCTGGGTTAATAAACCTTTTTCTAGTCTCTTCCCCTGTACGATCTATCTTCCAAATAGCTGTCAAACCAAAATTACTAAAGCACAGGTCTTATGGTGTCACTCTCCTGCTTGAGAAATTTCAATGGGTCTCTCTTGCCTCTAAAATAATTTACAATGCCTCCATTTGACTTTTGAAGCCATTCACCATCTGGCTCCAGCCTACCTTTCTAGCATGATTGCACATTACTGTCCTTTGTAAGCTCTATGTTCCAATCAAATTGGTTTACTTGCTATTTCTCAGACAACATATCTAATCTCCTGTCTTTGTGCCTTTGCATGTGCTATACTCCATACCGAGGATACTCTCCCACCTCACCTCTGTCTCCTAGCTTCCTTCTACTCTCTGCCCAAGGACCACCTTCTATAACAAGTCTTTCCTTAGTCATCCTTCATCTTAGTAGCTTGGCTCTGAGATTATCTACAAGTTATCCTTTCTCTCTGTCTCTCTGTCTCAGTCTCTCTCTGTCTCTCCTCTCCCTCTTCCTTCTCCTTTCCTCTTTCCTTCCTTCCTCCCATCCCTCCACATTCTTATACAGACTTATTTGCATATTGTCTACTCTATCAGATTTTGAGCTCCTTAAGAATGGGGACTGTCTTTTAGCTCTCTTTGTATCCACAGTGCCAGACAAATAATTGGTGCTTAATAAATGCTAGTTGACTGACTTCCTGTAGGAAATCTCACCTGATGCCCCTCATTATTAGTGCCCTTCCTACCTAGAAACTGTTTTATAGATATTTCATATTCCATTTTCATGTACATTTTGTTTTCTCCACTATAGAATACAAGTTCTTTTAGGACAGAACTGGCTTAGTGCTTGGTACATTTGCTTAATAAATGATTTTTTAAAAAAAATCAGTTGCATTTCACTAACAGATAGAGACATCACATTCCTATACGAAGTCATGAGGATGACCTTATCCAGCTGTGGAAAATTAATTCTAAAATAAGATTCCTTTGGAAGAGAAGAATGAAAATTCTTGGGAACCCACTTGTAAAAATCTTTTACTTGGTAAGCAGTAACATTTATCTTGTTTTTAAGATTCTGGAATTTCCTCCTAAAAAACTATAGAAAATCTTTGGGTTGAACTTAGGGCTTCACACCTCTCCAAAAATGTTCATCCCAAGGAAAAATTTTCCCAGTCCTTACTACTGGCCAAATACTAGCTCAGAGAATGAAATTCATCATGGGAAGGGGAAAAAATTTATATATAATTGCCTGAGATTTTCCAGTATGAGAAGGGAAAGAGGAAGTCTATTTTCAGTGACAATAATTACTCTGACAAAATTAACATAAAAGGGGAAAAAATTTCATTCTGAAACTCAGTGCTGTTCTTGTTACTCACAATGATCTGAAATTCCCTGATAAAAGAGAGGTGATGTAGGCAAATGGCACTACAGTGGCACTTGAAAATGATAAGGTTCCCAACCCCAAGAATTATGGGAGTTTAACTGAGGATAAGCTCAGCATGATGTCTCACTGCCAGGATAGTCACTTAGAAATATCAAGTAACAGATGAGCTACTTAAGGGCTCAAGCTTCTCAGCAAGGGGACAATTCTGCTACCCAGTGCTTCATCAGTAGTTATATTCTGCTAAACACTTAAACAGGATTCAAGGAAATTGAAATAATGTAATTGATTAAAAGAATCCTAGAAAATGGAAAACACCTACTTTGTTGTCTTTACCTTTCCTTTCTGACATAATTTTCTTCCTTCTCCATAATTTTATTGATTTGTGATAAATGTACAATAAAGTCTGTAGAATTCTTTGTAGCACCAATATAAAATATCCTATGAAAAATATTGTAGCTCTCTTCTTCTATGATCCCTTTTGAACCACACTAATTTGTTAGGGAACCTATTTTCTGGCTTCCAAACCAATTTTATCTGCAAAATAATGTTATTTTTATAGCAAGGCACAAAAAAGTTGTGATGGGAGGGGGAGCTAGGTGGTGCAGTGGATAGAGCACTGGCCCGGAAGTCAGGAGGACCTGAGTTCAAATCCGGCCTCAGACCAAACACTTGACACTTACCAGCTGTGTGACCATGGGCAAGTCACTTAACCCCAATTGCCTTAAAAAAAAAGTTGTGATGGGAAAAGAAGATGAAGGGGATAGGTAAGGAAGCAGATATCAAGAATAAATATTATGAATAACTTTACACTTTTATCAAAATTCCTCTCTAGTGATATAATAATTAAAAAAACCCTTTAGCTCCTCCTTTCATTTCTTCTACCGTATTTCTCTATCTTATAATACTCTTTTCAGAAAGCCTTATGCAAATTCAGATCAGTCTTCTTAAAATGCATCATTTTGAGGTCAATCTGGGTTCATAGCTGATTCTCTATGATAACCATAGCTTGAAGATTAAAGAAGAGGTATATCAGAACCCCCAAAGCATCCATAGGAACCAGTTTCTCGAAACTTGAGGGTCTCAACCCAATGACTCCCTGCTCTGTGTTCCTGAAGAAGATCAAAATAGCTATACATGTGGATGGGAATTATGGGAGAGAAAAAGTGATCATAAAGATTTATCACATAACATACATAAAGATTTATCATCCTTGTAAATAGAAAAGAAAGGGCTTAGAAGTGAATACCTTAAAAGTCAATGACGTGCACAGAGAAAGGGGTTAAATAGGCTATCACTGAAATAGAATCAACTTAAAATCCTCTCTCCCAAGAGTCCACTCACCACTATTAGCTTACCAGCAGCACTGTCCCTCACAGTCCTCTCTGGATCATGGCTTGCTGACTACTGCTGAACCCATCTCCTGCTCCTGGGCCTGGTAACTCAACAGGCCGCCATGAAGATCTGATGCAAACCGGTGATGTAAAGGTGATTTGCTGTTTGATTCTTGGTAGCCTAGAAGAAATAGAGTTTGAAAGGATATGGGAGGGGAAAAAAAAAGGAAACCCTGTGACAAGTTCACTATTTCTTGGGCTTTATTAGGTAATGAGGTAGAGTTTTTTTTTTTTTTTAATGTGGAATTAGGTATGGCCATCTCTGCCATATTTTAGAAATTCTAATATGTAGGGTCCGTATCAAAACATTATCACATCCATGTAGAGTAAATAAACTTTTTTTTTTTTGGTACTTAGATCAGTCATGATCTAGGAAGACCTGGGTCCAAGTTCTATTTCTGACACATACTGGCCATGTGACCCTGGGTCAGTCACTTCATTTCTCAGTGATTAAGGCAACCTAAGTGGCAAAGAAAGTGTCAATCTGCAATGGTAGAGGAAATTTCATCGCCTGGGAGTTCCCAAAACAAATGAAATAAAAGGTTCAGTCCCTATCTCTATCCCTACTTATCTATCAAAGCATTTTTATTGGTATTCTTAGTAAGTTAGATGACACCAGGCATGATGAGAGAGACTAGGGCTTAAAACTCAGAGTCAGAAACCTGGTATATACATACATACACAATACAGAGTGACACCTCATTTGCATTCTAAAAAAAGGTGGTCAAGAAGCATTTCACGGAAGCACTGATGTTTGAACTGGTCTTTGAAGGGAGGTCAGAATTCATATAAGAAAAAACAGGGAGGAAAGGGGGAGGTAATTCAGTAATGGAGAAATCAAGTGAGCAAAGACACAGAGGCAAGAACAGGCATACCACATTTGGGCAACAAAGAATGAATAGGTCTGGCTGAACCTTAGGAGACTAGTGGGAGATAATGTTGGAGAAATAAGCTGGGTTTAGAATATGGAAGACCTTTCGTACTAGGCTGAGGTGTTTAAACCTTATCCTGAAGGCTGGGAAATGACCCTGGTTGCCATACACTGCCCAGTTAGGAAAGAGGCAGGGAAAACATTAGACTAGGCACAAGATAATAAGGTGTGCACAAATGTAGTACAGTTATCCCTTCCATATCACGACTTGGCTATTGTGGTTTCAATATATCACAGTTGGGCATTTTGGGGGAGTTTTGCAGAAGCCGCAGATGAATTGTGAAGGCCAGAAGATGACACAGAAAAAGTTTAGAAATGCGTAAACTATATGTGTTGTATAATATCAACATGTTTTATTTTTAATACCACAAATATACACAATTTTTAAAAAGTTAAAATATGACCAAATACTTAACCCAAATTTTACAATAAGGTACTGTAAATAACCCCTAAAAGAAAAAGGAAAAATTCAGACTTATTCTCTGGTCCAAAGGGAGGCACCAAAAATTTTCCATGGATTTCCCAGATTGCTGGGGCATCACACCCCTAACCATAGTGATGTGAAAGGGATAACTGTACTAGCTGAAATGGAATGGAGGGGATAGATTGGAGACTCATCCTGAAGGACTAAATATGAGGGGTAGAGCAGAAGGAGGAATCAAAGACAGCTCTGAAGTCTGTCCAAATCTGAGTGAGAGAGAGCATGATGGCACTATTTACAGAAATACATTCGACTAAAGGATAAGCAAATTCTAGAGAACAGTGAGAGGAAAAAAATTCACCTTTAAATGCTGTTGAGTTGGAAGTGATGGTAAAACATGTAAGCAGAAATTTCCGGCAGGTGGCAGGAGATGTGGGACTGAAACTCCAGAGGAAGGTCAGGACGGGATTTCACAAAATAGCACCTTGGGAGTTTGCCTTCCTGAAAGAACAGAATTTGAGAAACACTGCTGAGAACAGGAAGATTATTCTCTGCTTCATCATTAGGTTTCTAAAATCTGTTCTGGTCAAATTGTTCAGCCAGTCTTTTAGAAGACTGACTAGAATGGCTTTCTTGTTTCCTTAGTCTATTTATCTGTAGAACCCTGAAGTAGTTAAAATTCCACACTCATAAACATATAATGTTTAATTTCACCTCTTAATGTTTAAGAAAAATCACTAAGAGCAACACAATAGTTAATCTCAAGAGAGGATTTGTAGGGGGTTGATTGGAGAGATTCCTCATCAAATGAAGAAGTTCCTGGACCTTCATTTGGGATTTTGATTATATCTTCCTAAAGAGAGTATGGATGTGACACTTGGCTTCCCATGGAGGATGAATCTTAGTGATTGGGAAAGGAATTCATTGGGACTTTTAAAAAAGAGTCACTCCTTTGTGTATCCACTGAATTTCAATTCCCAGTTACTTTCCTTGAATTAGAACCAAAAATTTAGTGAAAATCAAGGTCCACAGACCTATTCCACTTTTGACTATTTGTTTTCAAGGCTTGGAACATGTCCAGAGTGATCTCAGCTCATATCAGGAAGTCTTGTGCAAAGTGACCGATGGCAAAGAAAAAAAAAGAAGCTAACTGGCCATGGACCAAGCTGTCAAGGAATCAGGAGGGAATAAAAAAAAAATACCATCAAGGAGAAAATCTGTGCTCCTATTTTCTATGCCTGGAAAATTGTTAGATTTTCAAAAAGGGCCAACATCAGGCAAGTACATATATCTTTAAGAGTTATTAAGCACAGTTCACAGCTATATTTCAAAGACTGAGATGAGAACACCTTAGTAGCCATTTATTTATAACAGGTTTGGGGAATCTCCAATATCTAAGAAGCCAGGAATAAATGCGATAACAACTTACTTTATGGGGTCCTAGAAAAGAAAAATTTGATAATACTTTTAGGGATGCTAGAATAAAAAGTTCAAAGCAGGTGCAAGACTGTTAACTTCCGATTTAAGCTTTCACCTTGCCCTGATACATGTATTTTTATGACAAGAGACCATGGAGTATAGAGTACAGGTAGGTGAAACCGATGATGGTGGAGGAATGAGCAACCAATGAGATGGGAAATGGAACAAGAGAAAACAACCAGTTATGGAAGCAATTAAGAAAAATGACATTTATTTAGTGCTTCCAGTTTTGCAAAGTGCTTTACATATGTTCATTTACTTGATCCTAACAACAACCTTGTGAGGTAAGTGTTATAGATATTATTATTATCTCAATTTTACATGTGAAGAAACAGGCAAAGAGGCAATACCTATCATCACAGAACTAATGAGTGTCAGGGGCAGTATTTGAACATAATGGCTGTTTATCATTGTCCTTTCTACAGCATTTAGCACTGCCAATCACCTACTCCTCTTGCACACTCTCTGTTCTAGGTTTTAGTGATACTGCTCACTCCTGGTTCCCCTCCAATCTGTCTGATCTTCTTCAGTTTCCTGTGCTAGTTTTTCATCCATGTCACACCCACTAACCATAAGTGTCCCTCAAGTTTCTGCACTGGGTGCTTTTCTCTTTTCCCTCCATACTCTTACTCACTGAACTCATCACTTCTTGTGGGTTCAATTATTAGTATATCTATACAAATATTTCTCAGATCTATATATCTAGTGCTAGTCTTTCTCCTGAGCTCCAGTCCCATGTCATTAACTTCTTTTTGGACATCTCAAAGTGAATATTCCATAGGCATCTCAAAATCAACATGTCCAAAACAGAACTCATTATCTCCACTCCCCACTCCCCTATTACAGCTAAGGCTATGATTATCTTTCTAGTCATACAAAATTGCAATTTATGTCATCCTTGATTCCCCACTTTCATTCAACCCACTGCTAAATCTTGTTATTTCCACCTTCACAACATATCTCATATATATATGTCCCCCTCTTTTCATTGACTCAACTACCACCCAGTTCAGGCCCTTATTACCTCTCACCTGAATTCCCATAATGACCTCCTTACTGGAAAGAACAAGCAGCTCCTTCCTGTAGCAAGTCATTCCTTTTCTCAATTAATGTCAACTGCCAAAGTGGTTTTCCTAAAGTTTGGGTCTGACCATGTCAACTCTTTGCCCTGGATAAACTCCAGTGGCTCCATATTATCTTCAGAATATAATAGCTAATAGCAGTGGCATCTAACACTTTTATAGTGCCAGGCACTGTGCTAATCACTTTACAAATGTTATCTCAATTGATTCTCACAACAACCATGGGAAAAAGATGCTATTATTATCCCCATTTTACAGATGAAATCTTCTGTTTGGCATTTAAAGATTTTTCACAACTTGGACCCTTCCTACTTCTCTAGCCTTCTTAGCTATAATCTTCCCTCCATGTACTTTACTGTTCAGTTACTCTGTCCTACTTGCTGGTCCTCAGCAGTGACCTTCCATTTCCCAACTTTGCATGGGCCATTTACCATGATTGTACACCCTTCTAACCTCCACCTTCTAGTTTCTCTGGTTTTCTTTAAGACTCAAATCAAATCCCATTCTCTTCAGGAGGCTTTTCCCATTCAGTTCCTTCTCCCCAGCTACTTGTGCCTTTCCTTCTAAGATTACTTTCAATTTACTCTCTTTGTATATTGTATGGACCTAATTATTTACATATCTCTCCCATGAGAATGTAAGCTCCTTGAAGGCAGGGAGAAGGCAGGAAGAAGCTAACTGGCCATGGACCAAGCTAGCAAGGAATCAGGAGGATATTAAAAAAAAAACTATCAAGAAGTAAACCTGTGCTCCTATTTTCTATGCCTGGAATTATTAGATTTCAAAAAATGCCAATATCAGGCAAGTACATATACCCTTAAGAGTTATTAAGCACAGCTCACAGCCATATTTTAAAGACTGAGATGAGAACAACTTATTTTTATATATTTTTACCTTGCTTTGAATCCCCAACACTTAGCATAGCACCTGGCACATAAACACTTAATACATGCTCATTGCCTGATTCACTTTGAACCCATTTTTCTTTCTATTACACCACTGTTTATCTTGGAAATCAAAAAACTACATTTTAAATGGTCCTTCTGAGGGGAAGCATGGCATAATGGATGGAAAATTGGCCACCTCTGACACATACTTACTTACTGTGTGACCCTGAGCCAAACTCTTAACCTTTCAGGGTTCTAGGCCAGTAGTATCAAACTGAAAAAGATCCTAGCAGCAGCACATTGACTTAGAGAGCCACAGATTAGCATTTATGATGTAGCCTGCTTTTTACTTATTTTGTTGAATATTTCCCAATTACATTCAGGTTGTACTTGAGAGTTTTGCAATGAGTTGGGGCACATGGACCGAGTTGGACAACTGTACTCTAAGCAACTAAGGCTATAAATTACAAAGAAAGTGCTGACCCACATTGGCAGAGGAGTTTCCTAACCAGGTAGTTCCAGATTCCAATGAAATCAGACATATCTCCTGTTTATTATTCTCAATCCAAACTAATTTAACTACAGAGTGTTCAAAATTTGCTGTAGGCAGACACACTTCAAGTTCAAGAAATGAAGGTCTTTCTCAGCTTCCTGTTAACCTTTACAGATTAAAATTCTATGTTTTGTAAAAGGAAAAGAATAGTATCTACCTCCTGAGAAAAAATTACAATTAGCAAAATGTGAAAAAAACAACAATTCTTTAAGGAAACTCATTGAGGTAAACATATCAGTGAGAGTCCAGAAAGATTCTGTTCTGTAGTCTTCTAGGAGACTTTAAAAAAAATGCTCTCCCACTCCCTTCCTGTCCATCCCTTTCCTTTTTCTTTCCCCCCTCCCACATTCTACCCTCTTTGCTTTCTTTCTTCCTTTCCATCTCACAGAATATATGTCTAAATATAAAAATGCCGCATGTGCACATTATCTCTTCACCCTCTGAGACTTCTAGGAACACATCTTTGGAACAAACGCAGCAACCATCCCCCAGATTCATCCACCATTTCATCTCTCACGCTAGAATGTATTTACCATATCAGCCTAAGCCTTTCCTCTTCCCTTCATGCCACAAGCCTGTCCTTATTTCATCCTGCTTCAAAGATATACGGCAAGAGTTTCCTTCCTGTCTTAAGGCTGCTGCTACTCCTCTGCTTGATGCAATCACTCCCCGAGTCTAAATAGGGCCTCACCAAAGACTATTTAAAAATAAATTACTGGACTTAGCTGGGTACACCTTTCTCTCATCTCCACATTTTGGAGAACACACATGCACATGCATGCACACACCCCCACACCCTTTCAGCAAGCAGATAAATAATGCAAACTATACCCTGCCCACAGGGAAATGCTATTACCAAATATCAACACTTTAGCAATAATTGTTATCCTTAAAGTTCTTTTTTAAAATAACTTAACCATCTAAGAGAACTCAATGAAGTAGAGGGTTTTTGGGGAGCAGTTGGGAGAGATACCCAATTAAGTTTATCAACCTATAAGTGGGGGGAGAGCTTTTGTTAGGGACTCATTAAAGAGATATCTCACTATAGAGAGGTTAGAAATGACCTTTGTCCTACCATAAAAGAGTAGTCTTAGTGAATGGGACTGAATTGGTTGGGACTTCTGGGAAAAGCCACCCCTTTGTACTGGTCTAAAAAAAGGGGCAGCTAGGTGGCCTAGTGGATAGAGTGCTGGGCCTGGAGTCTCCTCTTCCTGAGTTCAAATCTGGCCTCAGACACTTACTAGTTGTGTGATCCTGGGTAAGTCACTTAATCTTGCTTGCCTCTGTTTCCTCATCTGTAAAATGAGCTGGAAAAGGAAATGGCAAACCACTCCAGGACCTTTGCCAAGAAAACCACAAATGGGGTCACAGAGAGTAGGACGTGACTGAAAAATGCCTAAGCAATAACAAAAAAACAAAAAAAAAGGGAATCTTTATCTTAGGCTTCCATTTCTGTCTCTTCTTCCCCATTCCTTATATCTTCCTTCCTTTTCCCTCAAA